GACTGATTGTTTTCATTAATTTTACTTTCTACGAATGTCCCAAAGCCGCAACAATCAAATTACTTTGCGGTATACCTTTAAATGTGAGGGCATTGAAGGAAACCGTTAAACATAGTATTGGCAATGTTCCATAATTGAAAGAATAGTGAATGAATAAAGAAAGTGCAGGTGAGTTCTAATCTCTTGTAACGAAAAGGACTGCAGGATCTCAAAAATCTAGTTGTCTTTGATCGAAGCTATCATGCGATTCGAAAGGAAAATCAGAGGTTGCGACACAGAGGTTGGATGCCTTGATTGGATCATGAAGTCGTCTAATAAAATAGGCACGTCGTCGTTGATTATGTCAGCCACCGTTATATTATACATTAATTATCTACGTTTAAGCTTAGGTATCGATGTATAATGAAATACTATTTAATAAAAAGTTAATAGTTTAATAATTGATAAGTTGATTTACTGTCATTTTATGAAGTTCTGTTGCCTATCTTCGAAATCCATCATCAAATTTACATAAAATTCTCATGGGACCATTTTGGATTTTATCGAACAAAAAATAATTTTGCAAATTAATCTATATTATGTAATGGAGTTAGGTCAACATTCAAATTGATAACCTTTTCCTTTTGAAGTGGGTTAAAAATGTTTTTTTCATTATGTTCGGTTAAACTTTTTTCTAGTCTCGTATTAATTATACTCGTATTGATTGAACCTTAAATTCCGGATATTCATTAGGGAACTCCTCAAAATGTAATAGAAAATGTATGTGAGTGAGATATTTGAAGTCGTTTTTTTAATAGAAATGTACCAGTTTTTGGTGTAATCTGTTACATAGACAGAAGAAAGAAACAATGATTTTATCAGGAAGATGTAAATTTAAACCTAATAATTGATTTTTTACCAATTGTTAAGCCCCGCATCAAAACAATCCACGGTGAAAACGGAGTTTGAGTCATTTTGGGGTATATATTTTATTTATAAGGTTCCGTACACGAAGGGTAAAACGGGACCTTATTGCGAAGACCCGTATATCTGTTTATCCGTACATCACCATGTATCTCATGAACCACGACGGTTAGACAGTTTAAATTGTCACAGATGATGTATTTCTGACTATGACGGTTATATTTATTCATCGACGGTTTATACTATATTTCATGATTATGACGGTTTATTTTGTATGTGGTGTTATAATGTATACCACATCTGGTTTATTTCTAAGCCAAAGAATAAAGTGGAATTTGGGCTTGGTTTATAATCAGTACCATAAGAAGCAGTAAATATTTCCTGTCTTCGTAAATTTACTACGAACGACCTGTGCGTGTTACTTAGCGATGCACTGTTACTAATACGGTGGACTATATACTGTTGTTATGTTCTTATATTACTATTCAATAATAAAAGTAACAGCCTATACATGTCCCACTGCTGGGCTAAGGCCTCCTCTATACAGAGGGTATCAGGGCATAGTCCACCACGCGGCCCCACTGCGGATTGGCGGACTTCACATATTTTCGATATATATTTTTTTTGTTATTATTTCGAAAATATGCAGGTTTCCTCACGATGTTTTCCTTCACCGCGGAGCACGTGATAAGTCAGCACTTAAAGTTAAAAACTTCATTGGTGCCGGCACCGGGAATCGAACTCAGGTTGCTCGAGTATATTGAATTAAAGGCGAGCGCCCGGACACTGAGCTATCACGGCTCTTATTCAATAATATAACTGTTAAATTGGGAACGCGTTACATAAAAAAGAAATATCTGATTATGCTGCCACCTACTAATCAATCAGTGATAAAGAAAATTGGAAATACTAAAACTAGTAAAATCTAACTAGTAAAATCTCCATGAAAAGTTTGTTTGTTTGTTTAAATTAATTTTAGAACACGACACTCGAAAAAGATATGACTTTATACACAACATAAACCCAGTACATATAATATTAACATAGTACAACAGAAAATTTTCAAAAAAAATTAACCCAACGATTTTATGCAGTTTAATCCCACCCAGATTAACACGGTTAGATTATAAACCCCAGTAGTTATGACATTAAACTCAATTCAAAGTAAGTGGATAGCATGGCGCTGTTCTATTGGTGTTGACTAAATATACTACCATTTTAAAGACATAAAACATAAGGAAAACGACATACTATACACGTGGAAGTGTGTAACCTGTTTGAACTGTAACCTGACAGAAGCTGGTTATAATCATGCAATATGGCCCTAAATTTTTGACAGTAAATAACCGTAAGTAAAACTCTATAGCTTCGTATTGGCACATAAAATCTTACAATGGCACGCGTGATATTCAGAATTTTGTATGTATATTCTTCCTCGTAATGCCATGGGTATTTAACGTCATGTCAATTTCACCTTATCATGTTTGCTTTTAATAACTTTGCCGTTAATTGTGCTCGTTTAGTTCTTCACTCCAAGAATAAAGCGATATACATACGAGCCAAGTGCTCGAAATGTAAGTGAAGCAATTAATATACTGCATCGTTGTCAAGTGCAACAGAAGCGAACGTGTTTCCCATCGAGTTAAGTTACTTTAAAATTTTTATTATAAGGCTTGTCAGTTCACTGAAGTAAAGATAGGTAAGACATAAAATGTCAAAAGAAGATTTCCGACATCAGACCAGCTTTCCGACATCAAAATGACATGAACGTTAGTATTCCTGGTACTTGCTTTAATATGGCACACATTTAACATTTACATTTCTTGGATCTGGTTTAAGAGAAATTAGTTGATAAATATATTAAAAGAAAACATATTACAATAAAACATATTGATTTTATTTAATGCACTCAGAGCTCAGTCGTTCGGATACCACAAAGTGTAGAGTGCATTTGTATCTTTCTTTAAATTTTTAATTACCTATTATACGGAACGAAGCTGAGCATATTCGTATGCTTCTGGTTTCCATGGGTTCTCTAATAAATTAAAAATTATACGGAAGAGTAAAAAAATAACAGCTTTGATTTATAAGAACGATTCATAAAAGCATCGCACTGCATCAATGTAAATGCTAATTAAGGTTTTGAGGTGTTTCTTGCAATATTTTAGACTTCCTTAATCGAGAAGATTTTCTGGTATTGAATGTTTTTGATATTTTCACGCAATGATCCGCAGCAATATTAAGTCACCCGGACTAAAACATGCGTGATTCTGCATTCATTTTCATAGCAAACAATAATTGCGTAAAGTGAACGGATTTAGTACTTTACAGTTTTCATTATACCGAAAACTAAACTAGAATTATCGTAAAGATTTTTGATCCTATCAATTCGTCACAAGCTTCTTAAGAATAATAGCAATCTTCCGTAAGACACTCTCCTTATATCAGTTCGACAGCCACATTAACATAAAGTTATACAATTGTCAAACAGTGTTTTCTATTGGTTTTGGTAATGGGTTTTACGGCTTGGTAGTTCATTGACTCTTATGGCTTGTTTTAATAAATATAGAAATGTCCCCTATGTAAATAATTCACGCTTTCACAACCCATTACACGTATTAGAAATTATTTCTGCTTTCAATTAGTATTAATGCGATTTTCGACTCCAAAACGCGAAAACTCCAAAAGAAAGACTAATTACCAATTAAAATAAATTTAAAAATTAAAATATGATCATTATAATCATATCTCCGTAAATTCATTCGTAGAAATTATTCTTTACGTTCCCAACCGTTTATAACAATATATAAAAATAAAACTGAAACTTGCAAATTTCATTGCAATCTTTTAGGAAATTGTATCTGAAAGTAAAAGTATATTTAAAATAACAATACCATTTGCTTGTTATTTATGTTGTGTTTTCAAGCTTGAATGTTATTTTACCGTTTTATGTAAAACAATATTCTATCGATTGGTACGAGGATGGTATGCAAAAAACATACAATATTTATTCATTTAACTATTTACTAATTTATATAAACTGAATACATATGTTTGTATCTAAGTGAAGTAATAGACACTTTAACCCTAATGACTTCTGACAATTAAAAGGTGACTTGAAAGAAATTGCTTTTACTTAAAGGACGCGCATTGTACTCACTAATTTTAAATTACTTTTGTTCTAGTTTTATTTCGACGTGTAATAAGTGTAATCATTCAGAAAATCCGAGAAACCAAAAGTAATAAGGATATTTAATAGGGATAGCCACATTGACTTCTTAAATAACTTTTAATTGTGGTAGGGCCACGCAACGGTGTTCACGAAAGGGCAGGCCCGTCAGGGTAAGTGTTGCAAACGTCCATGGGTGGCGGTTAACACTAAACATCATGCGAACCGCCAGCTTGTTTGCCAGTTTCTCACATAAAATAAAAATAAGTACTGGACTGTCATCATTTGTAACTAGTCAGATAGTGGAGCAGATGCTTACCGTTGATAACATGACAATAACATGCTAGTCTTTCCATAAGCCAAATCATCAAAAGTTTCTCAACTAAAAAATCGTAGTGATAAATCTGGAAGAGAAATTGAAATGTCTCCTTTTTAAGAGTTCACAAACGATTTTATGGTACTGACACAAAATATATAATATCACAATTACTATGAACACCGCTATAGAATATATTTAATAAAACAATGTTTTAATCAATATCCTATTACATCAAGGAAGAGCTTTTACATAATCACAGCGAGTCGATTGGACAACATAAAAGAATCGCCTGGTAACTGTTATTATAACAACTCATTAACATACCACGATGTCCTAAAACTTATTTAATAAAGTCCCCCTCGATAACCGCAAATATTGACAAAGAAAACTTATTTACATAAACATTAGGGTCCAAACTGAATCGAATTTCTTCTTAACCTAGATGAGAGACTCGCGTGGAGCAAATACATAGATCCGAAGCGGGTGGGGGGGAAATGATAAAACTGTATGGCGGGACCGCCATCTCGCCAAACATTGCTTGACATCACTCGATGTCAGAAAATTAGAATTTCGGTGTGAGAACAAAATATTTTATTAATAAAAATAAAAATGAGATTCGCTTATGTTATTTTTCTCGCCCTCGGGGTCATCGCCGCGGCCGATGACAGTGATAACACCATGGAGATCGCGTTGAGCTTCGTCAAGGATTGCAGAGGGGATTACATTCTGTGTGTTAAGGTCTATAATTTTTGTATTAAAAGTGAAAGTGCTAAGTGTGAACGGTGTGTGCTGTTGTGTGGAGCAAACTCATAAGCTCAGAGGATTATTTTTTAATTCCACAAGTTACAATGCTGATCGGGCGGGTGTTTCCGTAAATAGGTCTCGAACGCGTTGGCCCCGCTGTCATTAACAAACTTTTTTAAGAATTTTGTACTTGATTATGTAATGCGGTGTGTTTTGTTTCTCAGGAAAAACTGCTGAAAATTGTTGACAACCTGAGAGCTGCGAGGAGCATTACGATTGCAGAGGGTGTCGTTTTAAAAGGGGAACCCGACGTCAGGTCGCCTAAGAAGCTCGATACCCTACCAGTGGACCCAACAGCTAGAGATGCAGAAGTCAACTATAGGCTTATGGACGGAGTGGTCAGTTTATTCGAGACACACAGTGTTGAGGTGAAGATGAACCCAGCGGACAAAGAAACTGTTCAGAGATCACTGGAAGAAGGTAAGACGTATACTTATTAATATTGATTTAGAAAAATAGTGCTTCAGTTCTATTCACATGCATGTTACTATAGGCATAAATATTTATAATTAAATTAATCGATGCCATAATACACTCACGATTAAGTAATAATTTCTCCACTGCACAAGTAACTGAATACCACGGTGTGGTTATAAATTCAGCTGAGTTAATTTGATTATCTAATAATCCTCTTGCTTTAAATTTACACATAGGTATTATAATCTTATTATAATTATATAAATAAATATTTTTGAAAATTGTGAATATAACGAGAATATTGTTCTGCAGGTCGCGGCAAGAATAAGAAAGGAGGTGGTATGGGTGCCATCATCGGCCTCCTCGGTGCTAAGATCCTTCTAGGAAAGCTGTTCATCGTCAAGCTGATTGCGCTGAAGGCTTTAGCAACTGCCAAGATTGCCCTTGTCCTGGCAGTCATCCTCTTCGTCGCCTGGTGCATGAAGCAGGACCACACAAAGACCACATACGAAGTGGTCCCCCACCCCCACCACCATGAGTCCCACCACCCTGTTCACGTTGAACACGTCTCTCATGATATAGGGCACGGCCAAGGTTACGGGTACGGCTCCGACTGGAACAAGAACTTGGACGAGGGCCAGAACCTTGCATACAGCGCCTACTCACCCCACAGGAAATAGACGAAAGACCAATAGCCGGCCGTCTGTGTCGGCGTATTTTAGCTCTGTTGTACAAAGATTTAATTTATTTAATTTATTTAATTTATTACTACTATTAATTTAACGATTCATTTATTGTTAATAAACGTTTTGAAATTCAACGTACGTTTTCTTTTTTGTGCGTGACAACTCAAATGAAATCGATATTGTCCAGATTCGTTTTGCTTTGTATCCGCAATAAATCGTACTATAAACTATAAGATATCTTATGAGTGATTGTTGAAAATGTAACTAGTAAAAGAACGTTTTACGGCAAAAGCTCATATCTATTATATAATTTAATGTATTTTCTTTATTGAATAATGATGTTTTGTAAACTAAATGATAATAATATACCGGATACTATAGATTGTCAAATTTATATTTCTCTTCATAACACTGTATTTTCATACAGACCCTGTTCATACGACATTCATACGAAATATATAATTTTAAATTTACTAATTTTTAAATTTTTAAATTTATAAATAAATTTTAAATTTACTAAAAATTTACTGTTAACGTTATATTTACTGAAAGAAAGGTTACCTAACAATATTTAAGTCATTATCTATTCACTCTCTCCGCTTTGTTTATTAACCGTCGTCCCACATTTCAACATTAGTGAATGATTATGAGATATTCGAGAAATCTCACCGCACAGCTGGCCAACGGCTAACGAATCCACTTCAATATGAAACTGGCAAAAGCCGGAACAGGTTTATAGTAGACATTTATTTAAGGCACCGACTTTCTATGCTGATGATGCTGCTCATTGTCTAATTTTACCTTTGTTACTTATTCAGTTAAGTAGATTAATTAATTCAATAGTATATTTTCGTTAAATGAACTATTATCCAGATAGAATATATCCTTCTGCCAACATTCGATAATTCTACTATTATTTTTATAATATATTATTTTGTTTTTGTTTAGATATTTTTAATTATAGATATAATGTGATAAACCCTCAAACAACCATGTATGAGATATGTTGTCACAAGTTTTCAACTTATATTGCGGATATCGAATATACATGACGAGAAAGTGTTGATAACTATAATGCCATAGATAATGCTTCGTAATCGGCTTATGAGACTGCTGTAGTTTCTAAAATCTACGTGATATTACAACGAACTTATTCATATTGGTTATCGTCATATATAAATATACTATTGGTATCTATTATTGTTTTCCTCTTCAAATATTTAAGAAGCAGATGGCCTTTTTTTTGGGTGGAATTACTTCTGCATATTTATCTGAAAAAAATAAAAATTCTGAAAAACAAATTTTACTATTGTACCATCGCAATTACTTAACGTTAACTATATTTCTATCGAAGTATCGTCGCACCCAGAACTCCTAGATTTATAGGTCCTCTACGTTGGGAACGTGTGTGTATTATTCATTTAGTACTTAGTTTAGTTTAGTATTGTAGTTCGGTACAGATCGTCACCCCGACGGGTGACGACTTTGCTATTCAGTGACTGAATATAGGCTTACTTCTTGTACGCGTTGTGTTTGTAAATTTGCCCGTGCACTTTGTTATATGTGTTTGCACTGTATATGGGGGTAGTGTTGATTATATGTCTAATGCTTGGCAATTACTTTTATATTTCGCCAAAGGGTTGGAATAGTTCTCGCCACTTTCGATGAACAGTGTTTACTCTTACGGTAACCTGCAATATCACTGGTTGGTCTATCTAGTAAAAAAACCCACATCAAGATTCTAAGTTGCATAGTTTTAAAAATGTAAGCATACATAGGGACAGACAGACAGCGGAACGACTTTTTGTATACTATTTAATGATACTTCGCCATTAAATTATAGGGATGATGAACTTGTAGCAGAAATAGTTATCCAGGTAGTTTATAGAACTTACAAATACTTACAACATTATAATATAAAAAATAATAAAGCATATTTAATTGACATTGATAGAGCTATCGATATATAAATTAAACTCTTTCCCATTATACTTTGAAAGTGCTTTCGTTACACATATAAGTCGGAAAACGCAAGTCATTGATAATAAGAATTAACAATAATTGAGAGTGACTGGCAGATTCACTAAGCGTTGAGCCTACAATCGAACGAAGACAAGTCGCAAAATAGTTACTCTTCCACGTATCGGATTTTACTTACAACGCCACAGTTGTACATCAGCAAGGTTCAACAAAACCATTAGGCCATTTTTGTCATATATTCCGCATTCGGTTCCTCGTTTAAACTGCGACTAGTATAGCGTAAGTGCAAAATTAGGCACTGGAGGGAGGAAATTATTTATCGTTACAGTAGAAGAGATTATGTATCCTTACAGTATGCTACTAGATTTATTCACACGTTAATTATCATTGTCTCATTCTGATACGTACGCTCATATATTATGCATACAGTTTATAATATCGCTTATATAATTTTCCAAGCAGTAATTGGCATTTTCAAGAATTTATTAAACCATTAACGAATACTTTGAAAAAATTAGGTCCATCATATTTAGTAGAAAATTTTGATTGGACAAACGATATTGACCGAAACATAATTATTCATAGAAGTATGAAGAAATAAATGAAATAAAAATACAAAGGTTTTGTACATTACATTTTAGATTTGTTTTACCCTCCATAGCAAGAAAACTGTAGTAGCTGTATCTAACAGTGAACACGCGGCCGGAAATATGTACTTAAACAAGATGACAGTCATTACGTGAGGGGACTAGTGACCGACAGAGCGTGAGAGTTTGATAAAGCAGGGCAAGCGGTTTATTCGAGCTTTGAAATATATAAATTTTATATATTATTGTATCTTGTTTAACCTGATGTTTCTGTTTTCATACCCGAAACTATAAAAGCCTCATCTGACGCAGAACCGGTGGGCAATCCAGAAAGCACGGGTTTGGGCCCTCCGCTGTGGGTAGGACTGGGATCCCGATGGCCCGGATGGCCGGATCAACTGTGTTTTTATGTAATCTGTGGCTGGGGGCTGTGAGAACCGCCCTGGAACGCGGATTTATCTTGGTTTAGAATATTTAAATCAAGAAATTGAAAAAATGGCATAAAAGTTAGGTGTAGGAGGAATTCATGGTGGAATTTCATCCTTTTTTAACCTGTTAAACCTTTTGAACTGGCAGTCGTAAGCATTCAGTGTTGAGAACACAATACATAAAAATATTGTCATCATAAAGTTGTTTTAATAAAATAAGAAAAATAAGTCAAATATTTTCATCCATCAAAATGACAAATTTAGACAAGTTTCACAATATTTCGAGTCCCTTGGACACGAAAATATTACTTGGTAGCCAAAGACAATGGAAGATGTATTTGCGTGCCTTTTAATGAGTGGGATAATCGGAGAATATTTAACTGTGGTATTACCACGTAACAGTTTTCACTGTTGCACGAATGGGCAGGTGCGGATAGTTACAATGACCTCATAGAAGACCGGCGTAAAATAGGGGTGTTAATTTAATACTGTGCATTTATGTTAAAAATCGTTGCTATAGTTTTCAAGTCACATTATACTCGTAAATATTGGTAATTACGCCACTGAGTCATTAGCCCTATTACCTGTATAAGAAGGGAATATCAAGTGGTGTGATTATTCGTTACGAGATCTTATACAAATTTTCTAGAGGAATCGAACCCGTAACCCCGACGCTGAAACACAGCCTTATACGTCATTGCCAAACGTTTTATATCAAAACAAATATACAAAACAAAACATAGCAGTAATATTCGCGTAAAATCAAGAAGTCAAAATAGGTATATTATTAAACGAAACTAGTTTACGTTATGTTCGCGTTTTTATTAATAGCAGTTGATATTGCCTAACAGTTTCCTTCGGTGTAAAAAGAAAAAAAGCGCCTGTAGATTTCTCCGAACAATATCACAACGATAACAAATTTGATTCCACCTAGGCCAAGGCGTTACGAGTTCAATGTTAAGGCCATCTTATTTTTAGCTCCGTATCTTTTGCTAAGTATATATAGTCAGGCACTTCCGTTTTTCATTCTATAACTTTTGGTGGACAAAGTAAATATTTTCATCCTCAAATTTGCATTTTTTATCATTACTTATGTATTCGTAGCTATTTACCAACAATGTATTATTATCAATGAAATATCTTTAACTAAGCAAACAAATAAATGGTTTTTACTTACGCATATTTGTGCAATTGTGTGCTTATTATGTCTTTTAAATGTCATTGAACTTGCGTTGATTAATATTACGGGAAACAAGAATTTAAAAAATATTACAAGGGAATTGTTTTTTTCTTTTTTTTTAATTTAATATTGCACTTGTTTAACTCACTTTATATTTGTTTTACCGTTTATAAAAAAAGTCGTGAGTAATCTTCTTCTTTCCATGAAGATATAATGAAAATGCGACAAATATTAACCGGAGCATGTTTTATGTTTGTGAAATGTTCTTAGATCCTAAAATTAATTACGTAGGATCTCTCAGTATTTATTCCTCTTTCTGTGAATAATGTTTTTTTTTTGTTTTGTATCACATATGTGTCTTAAAGGAAAAATAATTCATACATTTATATAAATATATAATACTTAATGACGCTAAAAGAACAAATAATTTTGTATTTTTTTAGAAATTTATAGAAATATCGCTGAAGAGATTTTTCTCACTGCTGAAAGGATTTGAACCCAAGAATACAGGTTAAAATCCTTACTTACCGACGCTCTAACCACTGCCGAAGATGTGGGCTCTATTCCCACTGCGGCGACAAAAGTGCAGAGATTAGCACTATACAAATTTAAACATTAACTTTAAATTAATTCTAACAATATTAACTGTGGTAGGGGCACGCAACCGTTTATACTGTTGCGTGGCAGATCTGTCCGGGTAAGTACCACGACCTCACAATAGATTGGCGCGAAGTGGAAGAGTGTCTTCTGCGTTTCTTCTGGCGAGTGAGGTAGCCGGGGCCCGCTTTATTGACAGGTGGCAAAGCGTCTGCAACCTTACGATAGTTGGAAATGCTATTTTCTGATGAAACTTTTGATTTGTTTGAGTCAAAAGATTGCGTCTCCGATTCGGGTGTCAAGCTGATCTGACAGAGACGCAAGGGTAACGTGGATTTTTTAGTGGGTCCCCATTTCTCACTGGGACTCCCACATACCTTTGCCACTCTCCCAATCTGGTGGCAGGGGAACTATAAAGAAATAGTTTCGGACATAAATCATTACATCTTGGGTTTTTTAATGCAAATAACTCGGAGAACCTGTGATGTTGCAGATTACGCGTTGACCGATATTTAATGGGTCAATATTTGCGTCTTTATTTAAAGCGTCTCTAAGATGAATGTTTCACTTTTGTAAATAATGATGTGTTCTGCAAATTCGCAGTGTTTTCGCAGCGCACGCGATGTAACAACATTATTGAAATTTTAGTAAGGATCCCTAGTTTAAAAAAATATATAATATAGCCTATATCATCCGGAGATAATGTAGCTTCCTAATAGTGAAAGAATTTTTCAAATCAGTTCAGTAGTTTCGGAGCCTATTCAATGCATACAAACAATCAAATATTTCCTTTTTATAATATTAGTATAGATAATTGTATCATCTCCTTAATATATTTATCTCAGCGAAATGAAAAATGTAGAGTGCAAAGTGTTTATGCATTTTTTAAATATAGAAATAAGTTATCTTCAATTTTACATATTTTAAGAACTTTGACAGTTATAAACGGCCATTTAGTTTTTCAGCCCAGTACATACATTGATCATAATATGGTCATATGACGGCGGAATGGTCGTGATAATGATTGTTGTAATAAAAGTTTGATTGTGATATTTCGAGTCATTTGGGAATCAATCCACAGATTCTTCGGTACGGAAGCTTGTTTAGCAAGCTAGCAATCCATTGAGAATTATTGCCCTGATAATCGTAACAGAAATAGTTTATCTTTATATCAGTAAAATTTATTTCGTGCTAAGTCGAGTCACGAGTAGTGTCTTTTTGTTGTAAGTTTCGCTTAAATATTTTACATACAAGTAACGTAATCTTAAAAAAATGTTTTTATAATCAAGTATGAAAGTTGAGTAAGAAGTTCATCTACTAGTTAGTGATAACATTTTTACACAGTAAAAAATGAACACCCGTGGAATATCATAACCAACTAAGAAAGGATGTGCTTCGGTTATCTCACTCACCAGGTGAAACACACACACTATACGTTTCAGGTATTTAAATGATTTTTATCGAGTTATTCTTTTTTTCTGTTTATAGTACTCCTGTATTAAGCACTCCCTGTTCAGAGGTTTATTCAAGAATATGAGGAGAAATTCAAGTATTTTTCTTAGCTATAGTGCTAAGACGAATGTGTCTAGTACTTCGCTTTAGTTATTTTAGTATTATATTAAAGTCAACAGTAAATAAGCAAGAGGACAGATTTATACAGGCTGATGGCGTTTAGGCTAATTTGCTATAATTACGCTTCAAACTTTACTTCTAATTTACTCAACCCTATCCTAATGTATTATATATTAAAATGTAATATCCTATATATGTTGCTTTTGATTCTAAATTCTTTGTTTATTATTATAATGGTGGGGATGTTTATTTGTTTTCTCGTCTGGTTGGGTTTATAAATAAAAAAAAACATTTATAAATATGTAATGTAAATATTGTATATAATATATGCATAAATAACTCAACCAGACTTAAGCCTTCAGCAGGGGAGACCAAACGGCCGAGGGGTAGGGTCAGAGGGAGAGAAACCGACGGACGTTGCGCGCAATATCGAGGAGCACCGTCTTCTGCATTTAAGCTTGGAGCGTTCCTTCCCGGAGCCCCGGTCGCCTCAGATGTTTGGAGAGGCTGACTGGGGATCAACCCATTCAGTCAACACGCCGCCACACATGTCAGTCACCTCGTGAGCGAGGTCCAGATATTTCGTCTTCTTATCTGTTTCGGCGGTTCTTATTTGTATCTGTTATGGGGTTCTCGTCATATGGGATGGTAATGTCGACCATAAATACCTGCGACTGTGCCCGGTCCATCAACACGATATCAGGTTTGTTCGCGAGAATCGTCCTGTCCGTGATGATGGGCCGGTCCTAATAGAGCCTCCCGCTGTCATTTTCGAGCACGGCCTCTGGGTAGTACTTGTAGTACGGTAATATCCGATCCACGAGGCCGTATTTAAGAGCGAGCCCCTGGTGTAGTATTCTACTAGGCTGACTACTAGGTTGTGTCTATGCAAATAGTCAGAGTTGATAGAAAGCATGAAACAACCGGAGATAACACGCCGAAGCGAATCTCCGCGATGGCGACAAGCTCAGATGTCGACGGTGCCATCCCTTAGGATGTATTTCCGATAGTTGTTCGTCTTAATAACCAGACCCTGTATCGTACAGACAAAACCTTCTGTTTCCCCAAAGAGGTCACCGAAACGTAGCCAATTAAGGGAGGAACAATATCTACGATAGTCTCGTGCAGAGCCTTGTAGAACTCTTGTGGAGCTCTCCTCCCATACGGTCTCTCGATTGGAAACGCTCAGTACTTCCGGATCCTGCCATTGCTCGTTGGCTAAGGATAGAGGGGTAAGTCCTTTATCACAACTAATGACGTCCGTGTAGATTGAATCATCCGATCTCCCCAGAAAGTAGTTACGGAGGCACACCTCGCGATTGTGCATGGTGAGGGCACTTAAAAAGTTCCTTCCGCCATGCTTTCGCGGCAGGTACAGCCTCATTACTGATGATCTCGGATGATGCGTGGGACGTCATAGCCGGACGACATCCGGCTGGGACAAGTTGATATTGGTCCCAGAAAACGCCATCCTAACACATAACTCTGGGCATATTATTGCCCGACCTGAAGCTTATCAGCCTGCCAATGATGTCCCTTACCTTTGCGATAGGGTCCTCAATTCTTCTTCTCCATGCTGGGTTAGTGGTACCTAGTCTGGTAGCACGTTCAGTCTTAGTAAGTTTCGTGTCAAGGATTCGGCATGCTGCCAGTGCAGCGCCAAAGAGAATTCAGTCCGTATCGCAAAGAATATTATTATTATCATTTAAAAGACGAACAAAGAACAACGAAAATGATAGAGCTATGACGTTGTACGCGCATCACGGGAACTACTACCAGAAAGATTTCAATTAATTCTTCCAAAATTTACTTCTTAGATAGGATCATTTACACATAATTATATTGCGATATTTTCATTTCATGTAGGGTTATTAAAGTTGTAAGAAACAATTATTTCTATCAACACTACGTGTTGAGTGATGCACGTTTACTTGTCCTGGAGAAATTGAGCAAGCGGTATAAACAACGCAGATGAAATCATGAGTATCAGTTAGTTAGCGAGAAACTGATAAACATAACTAAAAAAAAAGAATCAAAAACACGCAGTGCCTGATATAGGCTTTTACATTTATATTTATAACCAACCAGAAAATTGTTGGTTAGGGATTAAAATATTATGGATTTAATCAAAACAATTTTTATCCAAACAAATGGATTTTAAAGAAAATGCATCATTAATTTAATTAAGATCGGTTTATTACTGTATTTAAACATTTCAAATAATTTACATCCAAACATCCGTACAAATAAAAATAACTAGCACGTGTATCGTATCACACGGTGCCTTAAAATAAAATAAAAGGTAAAAAGGATTTCTATAGTATTCATCAAAGTAAAATCATAGTATATAAATATGTAAATGTATAAATAAATATTTCAAGAATAATAAAAAATAAAAAACTTAATAATACATATATAAATATGTGTATGTAAATATAAATATTAATTGACGATGATGTGACTGTTATAAAATCTTATATGTTATAAATAAATAAATATCAAAATAAAATATACTAAGAAAGATAAACATATTCGTTAGAAAAATAAAGGAAGAAATATATACATAAGGATTAATATCATCACAGTAATATTATACACATAAAAATTCTATCTAGGTACATCTAAAAATAAATAAAAAAATATTACTTACATTATCACAAATTTACGGATAATAAAATAAAAACCGTGATCTCATACAAATAAAAATCCTTTTCAGTCAGATTATCAAGTGTATAGAAAACAAATGCAAAATAAAACAACATAAAATGACCGAAAAGAAAAAAATAAACTGACAACAAGCGAACCGAAAAAAAAAATCGCAGTCACTCACACACTCAGAAAGCAATAAATTAACGACAAATAAATAGGGCAACAATAATTAAAGAGAATAAACTATTTGGTGGTTCTAACGCTTATTGGCTATATGCGGAGTACGCCAGGTTATTGGCGTCGTTCTTTGAACGGGACCAACCGCCTTCCCAACCTGTGTGAGGGTGTTCCTCGTGGGCGGTGACCCACGTGTGCTCTTCCTGGGCGTGCTTCTTGGCGATAAGGGCCTTGACGATGGCGATGACCTTGGCAATGAAGGCGATCTTCGCGAGCAGGGCGAGCTTGAACAGCGACGCTGCGATCACGAGGAGGGCCAGTACTACGAGAGCGACCGCTTTGACCTTGGCCAAGATGGCGAGGGGAATGAGCAGTTTCAGCTTCTTCTTGATCTGCTTCTTCTTTTTGCCTCGGCCTTCGGCTGTTGTTAAACAAATTAGTTTTAATTATTCGCGTATTGTGGAGAGGGTGGTTGAGATTCTGGTTAGGTAAATAACATTAATGAATGCAAGAACCTTTATGTAACAACTCATTAGCAAAAGTAAAAGTTTTTATGGCCTAATGTTAATTAGTAGCCTGTGAAGTGTGTTTTACGTCATTCTAGTTGAAACATGATCGTCGACTGTTATGATTCAATTATATTATGAGTATTTATATTTCTAAATATTATCGTATGTGAACAATGATGGTGTTTACTTCGTGAAATCACCGTTATCTTCTTAATAACGTATTGACAGTTTATCAGCAAAGATAAAGATACGTCCGGGGAAGTACCACGACCTCACAGAAGACAAGCATGAGGTTGATGTGTTATACTTTTGCGTTTCTTCTGGTGAGTGAGGTATCCGGGGCCCACTTTATTAAAAGGTTACAATGCATTTTGCAATCGTAAGAATGTTGCAAATGTCCATGGGTGATGGTTATCATTTAACATCAGAAGTACCGCCAGCTCCCTTAACATCTTCATACATACAAAAATATAGCATTTTAAAATATAGCAACTTACAACATCCTGCAAGGGTAGAGAACTTCTACCCTTGCAGGATGTTGTAAGTTAAGAAAAACTATCTCAAACTTTTTATATGTGACTGTATGTTGTATTTTATAATAAAGAGTGAATCGTCGATTTCATTGGTCTTAAAAAAATATTTTTAAGATATCCAAAAATATTCAAATATTCAATCAAATTAATTTGGAAAAATATCTTATCTATAGGCTGTAGAGCAGCCTCATTACGACCTGCACTTCTGAAAACTATATTGCCTGTAAAATGTTGAAAAGCCAAAAGTAGTTTAAGAATGTAATATAAATTATTTAATCTTTTTTGTAAAAAAAAAAAATACAGATAACTAGTGAAAATGCGTGGGTTTATTTAACTTATTTGACTATATTTAATCATTAGCAAACTCGATTATCGGGTGGTTTTGAAAACTGTCATATCAAGTTAACCGTTAACTAAACGTATGCTTTGACACCGATATAATCGTAAAAAGAAAAGTGGATGAGAACCAGCACACAAACTTTTAAGTTGAACACTGGAGAGAAACTCGCAGAACTCATAAGATGTGAAAACTTGTTATTTATCACAAGCTAAATTTGTTTGAAAGAGAAAATACTTTTATTACCATCATTGTTTGTTATCATTTATATAAATAGCTTAGTATGAAAACCTTTCGTTTTTGCATATTTATGAGATACCGAATAAGATCGATAAGAATACCGAAATATTAATATTCAGAAACTATATAGTTAAAATTTTGAGTTAATAAATTTTGTACGATCTCTACAAGCATTTTTGAAAGCGTAAATTTTTAATTGATATAGTATGCCAACATTACGTTGTACCCTTTAAACATTTTAAACAGTAAAACGTTTTTATGAATCTTACTTTGGTATGAAACACTTTTACATTTATTATTATGGCATCTGTGCTTGCATAAATCTAATTTGTTTATGCATTACATAAAAGTTGGTTTGGTAATTATTATTGTCATAAATGATTTTGCTGCTATATTTGACGTACAAAATTCTATTGATTTTAAAACAATCACAACCATGAGTTTCTTTTTAATACTATATGAATATATAGTATAGTATTATAATAGTAAATATATAGTACTATATTGTTCATATAGTAATATATGAATATTTTCAAGCATTTTGTAGGAAACTGATAAATTCCTACCTTCATCGATGGACCTAGACTCTTCTTCATCGTCGTCGGATCCATTGAAACTCAGTTCCAAATCGCTTCTTTGCAGAAGATCCGAAGTGCTCTCCCATAACCTCTCATTAATCTGTCTACTTCTTAATTCAGGTTCGGTAGCTAGAGGTTCAAAGCTTCTTGCTTCTTTAGGTCCATTGTTGTAGAGGGTGACTCCTTCGAAGATATTTAATTTTCTCACGGTCCCCAATCTTTCAGTGGCCTTTAGAGCGTGTTCCTGTAAACAAATTTAGTTGAATTATGGTTGCGATATAATGCGATAGTTCAATTTAATTTTTCAAAAAGGTAAGAAGCAAAATTTCGATTCAAGCCAAAACTTCCCGCAACGGCAGCATATTATTATATTCAGTATTTATTTTTATGTCCACTTAATTATATTTTAAGGAAAATTAAAATGAAAAATTTTACTCAAAATGTTCACTGTAAAATTGTTGCGGTAAAAAGTAATTGTTATTTTTTGAAGACGTCTTTTTTTTTACTTAATTTTTCACACGGTGCATAGTAAAGCTTAATTATAAACAATCGGAACTCTTTCACTAGATTTCTGAGAAATATCTCGTTGTGTTCCTAATTTTAAGAGAGATTCAAGAAATAACTGCAGGAACAACACGATCGTTCGTCGTCTTTCCAATATAAGCAGGGAATGGCACATGCGAAACCAGTTCGTCCCTTCAACGGTGCACGCTCTTAAATGCCGTTACGAAAAAATCGCCCGTATCATCACTGAAATTACCTTCAAACACATGTTTAAATCACTGTTCATGCAATCCATAAAGTTTCCGATCACCGATTTCATCACTGAGTCTTCCTGCGCCACTGGAACACATGCCGCTATAGCCACAACACTTAATAATACAAAGAGCTTCATCTTTGTTTTTTTTTTTTTTTGATGCACGTTCTCAAGCGGGACCAATTGGACTGTGGCCGTCGTCAGATTGGTAAGAGTTTTTTATCTAAATTTCCCCCACTATGCCGTTTGGCCACATTAACATTTTAAAGTAATTGATGCCATATCGGAGACGGAGAAGACATTATGCCATAGTGAATGACATAGTTATTCTTTCATTAATATTTATTTTATACCAGATAGCACACGCTCTTTCTTTATTTTATGTAAGGTTTATGCAAAATGTGTGAAAGCACATATCATTGAGCTGTCTATGTAATAATTTCTTTAATAGTTAATGTAATTTCTGTAATAAAAGTACAGCCGACATAATAAGTGGAATATTTTTTACGGATAAATAAAAACTTCCGTGTTGTATTAAATTATTTATTAATAAATTAATTTGACTCTATCGATATTTAAATTACTCGTTACTTTGAAATAAATATTTCACAGGCACACATATAAATACAAACACTCGTTTACGCATCAAACCTAATGTCCTAATTGTCCACCATAAGCTAATGATTGGGCATCGTTCACTTTTCTGCTCCAACCACCCGCGGGTTCATAAGAGTAGCCAGGGTGTTCTTCCTGATGTTGGGGCGAGGCAGCATAGGATATGACTCCTGACGACTGGTTCTTATTCAACAGTCTCCTTATGAGGTTGAAGGCGTTCATAGCAAAAGCAATCTTTCCTAAGAAGACTGCTTTAACAGCAACGAATGCTATGATACCAAGGAACAGCGGGACAAGTGCAGCCAGTTTGACCTTCAGGAGGAGAAGGAGAGGCAAAAGCTGCTTTATCTTCTTCTTCTTTTTTCCGCGAGCTGGAAATGGAGATGAAGAATTTAATATTTTATGAGTATTAATCTTTACATTGATTTTTATAAGGCGGTGTAGTCTTTAGAACTAAAACAAAACTTTAATTCAGTTTTAAATCGAAATTTATTAGTGTTTAAATTAAAATTAATTGTATATGATGTCAGTAACAATAAACGATATAAGAACGAATATGATATGAATAACAATAACTCGGAGTAATGACCTAAAATTTTATACGGCTTTGTCTTACTTTTCCCTTCCAGTGCCACCAATATTAAAGTGTCGTATTATTAAGATTTACCAAAGATATTAAGTTTGTTAAAATAAATTAGTTTATTTGCATTCCTAAAATTGTAACTTCAGCTTATATTCTATACACTTGTACTTTTGATATAAGTGATTGATATAGTGATTTTGATTAAGAAATAGAAATCACGAACCTTCTCCATCTAAATCCCGACCGCCTTCGGAGTCTTCTGACAGACGTAACTGCAGTACATGATTGTCTAAGAAATCTCCAACGTTGTTGACAATTCTCTCTTCTAACTGTGTCTCTCGCGTCTTCGGGTCTTCAGCCAAGTGTTCGTAGCTTCGTGAAGAACGGGCCGTGCCCGTGTTAATTAAACTGATACCGTCGAAAATATCTAATTCCTTAGCGATGGCCAGCCTCTCAGTCAGCCGATACGCTTTTTCCTGCAACAATCAATTTCAACGTTTACTTTTGAAACACATAGCACTCTTCACTTTAACTATGTACTATCTTCTACTATACTATACTATCACTGTACTATCTTCGCATAAAATAGTTATAGTAGTTGAGTTGACAAGTAATTATAAAAAAAACCGATACAATTCCAATGAAAGGCGGAATAGGCGGATTTCACTGGGTTCATTTTGTCAGTGACGAGTTTAGCGATAAAATTTTCATTGTTCACTTCACTTCACCATAAGTGCAACACGTTAAAACACTTTTCACCTTCAAACACAATGACGTGTCGCTGTCGATGCACTCAGAAACGGCACCCACGAAATTCTCCGCGACGCCGTTCTCAACGGGGCTGCTTTCCACCGCAGATAGGGTGGCTACAACTATTATTATTTTCCACATAGTGCGTTATGTGTTTGTACCCGTACTTTGAGATGTAACGCTGGGTAAGTTATGATATTTCCCGAAAAATGTAATGGATTTTATCCTTCGCACCCCCACTACTTTTTTGTTAAAGATGACGTAAAATATGTGCGTACTGTTTGACGGCGTGTGCTAACTGATGGGCCGAGCACTGCGTAAGTTGTAGACGTAAGGATAAGTAGAAAAATAAATATTGGATGTTAGAAAGCGAGGTTTGCTTACAACATCCCAATACCCGCTACGGTGTTTGTGAAGACAGTGTAAATGAAATGAAAGAAAAAGTGTGAGTATTTGTACTTCTTATGGTTAGACAGAGTGAAAACGGTTACGTTATATCGTTTTTTTTTTTTTTTCGAAAATTATGCAATTAAATAAAACTTTCATAAAAATGAAGTAAAACTAACTTTGTATCTATGTAAAATCAAATGATTACAATAATTTGGTCGCTCTTGCATAAACCTTTCCTAATTTTATATATGGCCATTTTTTAATTCGTCGCATTGGAGGTCATAATAGTCAACAATATGAAACCGGAAAGGATAGTGTCGTATGACCCAAAATCTGACTTTCCGTAGTAATACATGAACGTTTCGATCATTTCTCGTTCAATCGTTTTCATTTTCATCAAATTGTTCACAAAGCTTGGAATTAATTGGGAATGAGATGATCGCTCCCAAGTTGTGTCTAAAAAATATATATCTACTATATAACAATGTGTTTGTTTGAAAAAAAAATGACAAAAAAGAGGATACATACGGAGTTTCTTTCGCCTGTTTCTTCTCCGTTAGAGGAACCTGATTAAGAAACGGTGGTAGATTTAAAAAAAAGGATTGTCGATAAATGAAATGTATATTTCTTATTTCGGTGAATAAATGATTTGATTTTGATTTGATTCTAGTTTTTTTAGCGGTGATAAGGATAGACACGCAATTGCTATGATGTTACAAAATTCATAGATTACAGAATTTTATATTTCCTATAGGTTTGCGGTGACGCAATCCTATAAAGAATTCAGTTATAAGCGTATTAATAGAATTCGTTTCATTTATTTAATAACGCCGTTCTTCACACGTACCAGCTCTAAACTTTTTCGTTTGTACGTAAATCAATTTGTTGAATATTTACGTAGAAACCAGATGGTTATATAAAAGCGGAGATCTAATTGGAATAGAAAGAGGCATTGGTTACCTCAGGTTCGTAATGGATTATACAGATTATTTTGATTGTAATTATACGTGACATCATCGTTAATGTGTGTGTGTTTTCGTGAATATGTGTGCGTCTATTGATTTATGCGTTTTAAGTGAAAGTGGTATGGCTGGAATGAAACTTGTTAGTGTCTTTTTTCTATTTGCCAACCTTTGAAAGTACTTTGTAAAAAAAAAAAGAAAATATAAAAAGGTTTTAACTAATTAAAAATATAGGACATTTTTTATGACTTTTTCGTTGATTATTATTATCTTAAACTGCACGCATTCAACAATTCATTTTTTACACTTATAATTATAGAAATTCAAAATTTCATGGTAACATGGTCCGAATATCTTATAACTCTCGTCTGAAAAGAGTAATAAAACCAATGCGTGTAAAAAGCATCAAAAGGAGGTACATATTGTTCCTGTCTGACTTATCTGATATTGCATGGCATTGGCATTACTCTTAATTGTCTCTCACAGTCCTCAACGATCGTGGATATTTATTTTGATGCGAGGAGGCGCAAGCGATCTGGCGGTTCAACTGATGTTAAGTGATAACCACCGCCTTTGAAATTTGCAACACGTGTAGGATTACAGTTGCACTGTTCATTCGTATAACAGAGAAGTCTGTTCCGTGACCCTACTACATGTTACCTTAACACGTCATATTTTAATAAAATAATGTGAAATTGGTCACTTGTCAATTAATTCATAACACATATTATGCAGTTAACCTATACATTCGACTTTCACTTTGAACTCATCGAAATTCTGAATTAAAACAGTGCAGCGACAAAAAAAAAAAAAAAAATATGTATCATTAAAAATCAAAATGGAATGAAATTGTTATAGTTGCCTATGAGAAATTTTTTTTCTTGTTGAAAAGTCAAACACGGTGGTGGTACAGCTGATGTTAACTGAAAACCATCGCACATGGACATCTACAACATCCAAGGTCTTTCAGAACCTTTAAAAAGTGGGCCCTAGTTACCTCACTCACCAGACGAAACGGTAAAGTTTAATACTTCCACTTCGCACCTGTCTTCAACGATATACAACAACGTTAATTTCTAAGAAATGGCCGATATTTAAGTCAACATCTTATGAAGGTTAATGAAATTTGTGTTAAAAACTTTTTTTAAATTCTTTCAGTGCAATACTTGCATTTACTGTTATTAAAAGAATAATTATACTATAATGGTGATAAATGTTTCAAGATTTTCATAAATTTACTACTTACAAGTAACTTTACTTGAATTGGATTATTGCGTCCTTAAAAAATTATGAATGAATGAATGAATTAATACTTTATTGTCCACCACACATAAAAGGTTACACAAAATTAACAATACTCAAACAAATTTATGGAATGCACAATTTGGCGGCCTTATCGCTTCATAGCGATCTCTTCGAGGCAACCAAAGGCGTTAAGGAACGTTTGCTCCATAGTTGGTGCAATAGTAACATACATAATATATGAATAAATCAAATACGTACAAAATACGTTCATGTATATGATTATATTTTTTATTTAATATAAAATATTATGTCCGAGTAGCATAATAAGTATGAACTACATAAATTATTAATGCTGAATAATGATGAATAATTTTTATTTATTTAAAAATTTTGTAATATTAAGCGTGATAAACTTGATAAATATTAATTATTTATTGTAGGTACCGTATTGTAGGTAAATTTTAAAATAGTACAAAGGCTGTACCGTTATTAAGAATAGGTATATCATTATTTTCTCACACCCTATCTTATCGTCTTTCTAAGCCATTGTGACCCAGTCTAGTCGTTGGCCATGAATTATTATAAAACGATTAAGTAATTGAGCTCAAGTGTACACCAATTGTGTTACATCCACATAGTGGCTGACGCAACGTTTACATTACGTACAGTTCTCGTCATCTGGTGAAAGTATGCGCATGGCTTTTTTTCACCTGTCATAAAATGATCGATTTGTCACTATTTATAAGTACGTCAGAATATATCATCGTTTCAGAATTGAGTTGGTGAGAGAAGTCACTTCTCTCGCGAGATATTTCTGTGAATTTTCTATAAACTGTAACGTCCTTTAACCCCAAGTCTGTCTCTTACATAAAAATAGAATAGCTTGTGCTATCCATGTTTTATCACGCTTACCAGTAAATGAGATTAGCATAAATTGTTCAGAACATCTTTCAGCAATTTCAAATGTATTTATGACTTAAAGTTATAAATATGAACTTTTAGTTAACTATGCGGCCCCGTGCATATTTAAAGACAGTATTCCAACACATAATTCTGATAAATTAAATTTATTATGATTATTAGTCAACACGGAATTCAAGTAACGAATTTTGATACATAATCCACAATATCCAACGTAAGATGCATTTAGCGACTTGAATTAATATCTCGTTTAAGTCTTTTATAAAAGAATATTAAAAATGCGGTCACTAACTTTTCTTGGAAGCCCTAGCCAACGCCTAATTCGCTTTGTGTTTAACGATTTGTTATTATGTAAATACGTGAGCCATAACAAAAAAAAGTGTATTTTAACGTCCTTAAAGTGTTAATATTATTTTTATAATCGCATGATTATTATACAAAAAGATTTTTCTGTACTAAACTATATTTCAACTTTTATTTCCAGTTTCATATATGTAATAAATAAATTACACCCAATGTTTTGTAGATTATACACGTTTTGTCAAATATTATTACTGAACATCATTTCTGTAATTTCTTTCGAGGTTTATGCATTTTATAGAAATATATAAATACATAGGAACATCTGCATTATTAACGAAAAACAAAACCGACTTCAAATATCTCGCCCTGGATCCCAAGATCCAAAACCAATGAAATTAATATGGGACAGCAAGGGAAGCACCAGAAATCTTTCAAATATAAAAGAATCATCAAAATCGGTTCACCCAGTCGAAAGTTCTGAGGTAACAAACATAAAAAAAAAAATACAGTCGAATTTAGAACCTCCTCCTTTTTTGAAGTCGGTTGATAAATGTAATAATTATACTTGTTTCGACAAGGTCAAAACGTATTTTGCCTAAATTTCAGCGGCGATAAACGTTGTAACTTATAGGTTTAACTTTGATTTTATTTTCCCTGAAAGCACGAAACCTGCGTTTATGGATGAAAGTGTTTTATAGACATTTCGATATAATATTATCATAGATACGTTAAACTAGCATGGTGAGGTAAAGCTGCCTACTACGTGATAAAGGAAGTCACGTTCTATGTAAAATAAATTCCATTGAGAAGAAAGTGGCTGCGATGAGTCAGCGGCTGGGTGGCGTCAAGAATGTGTGAGACCTTGTGTACAGTGTGAGTGGCAACGGTACTTTTGACGCTAAAATGGGCACTACGTACACGGTGTGGTCTTTCAACGTTTTATCATTCAGGTTAATACATTATCACGATAAATTTCATTGCGTAGTGTAAAATTGCAACTTAAGTAAAATGACTGCATTTTAACTTAATAAACAAATAAATATCTTTAATGTTTTGTGTTATATGTACAAACGCAATTTACTGTAGCTAATACACTGAATATAAAAGGACAGGATACTATTTGTTCTTCTATATATTCTTATACCTTCTGTGTTCCATAATAATAAAGTGAATATTAAGTATCTGTTTTCGCTTATATGGTAACGATAATTGTGGTGTTATCGTTGTTATATTTTATCATTCGAACATCGCTTTGTCACACGATTATTTTCAAAGTGAATGACATACTTTGTAGATTAAAATGTAAATGCACCTGTAGGCGCGGCTTTTAGAACTTTCGCAGCCTAGCGGTTATGACTTACGGTCATGGGCCAATGGTACACTCGAATTCGTGTTTTACGCGTGTAAGTTGCTGATTCTCGTTCCTTTCTTCATGCAACAGTGTCTGAATGGATCTGGAACAGATGTAGCAGCACAGCAGAAAATTGTACATTAAGCTTCCAGTCTGGAGTTAAAGATTACTTAATACAATGCATTTGCAACTGTTGAAAATTATTTTTGGACCATTTAGATTTAAGTAAAAATTCTCCATACATCTGTTATGATTTGAAATTTTATGTCTTCCTACTATAACATTATCAAGAAAATATCCGATTACATCCGGTTAGCTCGATACAGTTGCGCACATTACGTTTTCAAACAAACCTGACAAGTTAACGACCCAAATGCCAGCACCTAATGCCTAAGGGTTACCAATTTCTATAAAAGAAAATTCAAAATTTTTATTAAAATATGGCATTTCCATTTTGTCTTGAAAAATAAGGGTAAGGTACATAAACTAAAATCTTATACGATAATTGGGATAATTTTTAGTGTCTCTCGTTAAAAAATCTAATAGACCTTAATTAGCCTTTAGTTTTTGATTGTATTAAATGAGGCAAAGTAAAACTATATTTTATGTAACAGAAATGTATTTTTCATCCTACCTTGGTCATATACGAAGCAATTACTACTTATAAGTACATTATATATATATATGTATATATATATATATGATTTATTACATACTTATATTATACTGTATGATTATATTATATACGATAGTGTATAATATAATCATACAATATACATGTAAAGTAATAAGACATTTAGTAAACATAACACTGATTTAAAACTCTAGTTTTAGAAAAGTTTTATATTAAAATTTGTAGAAAAAGTAGTGCAGAGATTAGTACAATACAAAATTTAAAAGTTTTATGGTTTAAATTATAATAGCTAAAACCTAGATTTTTTTTAATATATAATATTAATAATAACATATTACATAATTATATAAAAATATTCTTACTTAATAATATAAAATATTAATAATTGTTCAAAATACTTGTTTCTGTGCTTGATCTTGTCGGCCAAGTGCCAACCTTAAGTGTCTCGCGACTCGCTTTATAAATAGGCGATTTCACGCACATGCATCTCGTTGCATCTATTCATAAGCACGTCCACACATACAAACTAAACATACAGAGCCACGACAATAAACGTCGTTTTGTTTATCAGAATGGGAAATTTAAATAGCGCTTTTGCTGAGTACGATGCTTTTGGCTAGTCGTTATATGTGACTTGAATTAAATTTTAGCTAAATACTCATCAAGGTCCAATTTTACTAGCCTCCAGACATGGTCGATTGTATCTTATTTCAGTTCTCGCATTAATTTCTAAAAGAAAATCATGTCTTCATGAATCAGCTTGGTGTATGCTGACAGATTCTCTGTTTCCAACAGCCAATCTAACTAATTAATTTCATAAAGCGTTGGGATTTCGGGCTGTATGTGCCACTTCGATGGAGATCAATAAAACCTCTGTACTCGTAATAAGCATAGAATATATGTTACGTACGTAAAAGTAATTTCCACCACCTAAACAATATTATGTTGCAATATAATTTAACTTTGGACCAGCTCTATGATATGAAACCTTTACCGTATATATTGTATAATAACTAGAACAGAATTATTATTATTATTTGAGAAAATTAAAAAGCCCATTACTAACTGTGGTTGATTGTACTTGGCAGTGTCGGGTCATGTCGGGACATTGTGTAAGCCTTTGCCAACCGAATTTCTTTTACTTGAAAATGAAAGTTTTTTTCGTACACAACGCAACACATCCGCTTATATCATCTCACGGTATCGCGTATGCTAGTATAGACCTACTTTCTTTTGGTCTAAGAGTGAAAGTTATCTGAACGTCCCCAGTGACCTGTCTGTGAGATTCTGCTGAGTGTATCTATTGTTTATATTATTTTCTGTTGACACACAACGCTACAAGATCTCTATACAAACGTTTGATGAACACGTCTTTACTAATTGAAGACGGCTAGAAAACTTTCAACAAACAAAAATAGAAGGTTTTAGTTACATGGTACTACGCATTTTAATATTTGAATAACTTTATTAAGGATTAATTTTTATTGTTAGTGCTAGTTAGTCTATGCATTAAAGATGGATGTTTAAATTGTAATTTTTTGTACGGAATTCGAGTTCGGGTTTCGCTTGATTTTATCTACAAAAAATCTAAATTTTTTAATTAAATTGATATAATTTTCTAGTTATTACATAATTACCTATAACAACTTAATTTCCATCTTAAAAAGTGTTTTGCGGTAACAAGAATTTCTATGTATGTAATAAGGCTCTTAAATTTGCAAATCATGAAAGAATTATGAATAAAGCATGCGTTAGAAAGGTATTTTAATAAATTCATAATATTAATGCTTTCGCTTTGAATAATTTTAATTCTAATGGCAACTAATTAAACTATAATAATTATCTAGATTGATAAACGACCGCACACTGACACGTGTTTGATTATGTTTGCAGCATGAAATAATGCTGTAGTGCCTAATTGAACTAAGAATATTCAAATTAATTAATAAGCACAATTTAACAAACACGATGACTCCGTGGCGCAGTTGCCAAGGTATTGGCTTCGGCATCGGGGGTCGTGGGTTCGATTCCCACACGGGACAACTATTTGTGTGATCCACAGAGAGTTGTTTCGCATCTGTTTGTCAGCGTGAAATTTAAAGTTTGTAAAACGTCCCTACAACACAGGATAATGTTATCCTAAAGTAAGGGCAATGTTTAAAAAAAAACTAAAACTAAAACTAATTTATGACTGAAATTTAGTTTTGGCTGATACAACATATCCGTACATAAAATCGGCTGTTGCTACGCAATTGGCTACAGCGTCGGGTGTCGTAGATTCGATTCACACACGGGACAAGTATTTGTGTGACCCACAGATAATTGTTCCAGATCTGAGCTGAAACCGTAGCTAAAATCGATTACAACACGGTTAACGTGTTGCGCAGACTCCACCAAGGTGGGATAAGGGTAGGAGGATGATGATGATGATGAAATTATCTTCGTAGATAAATGTATCGAGAAAAATAATAAACCGAATGAACTATCATATAAATGTTTTATTCCTTTTACGTGGATCCATCGTAAAAATAGATTATTACATAGTACCTTAGCAAAAATACAAATAAATAATTCATTTCGAATTATAAATATTTGACTCGTATCAATTCACACATTCCACTTTATCGTTAATGAAGGTATATGATGTAAAATAAAGGATAAAAAAATAAAACCTAAAAAAAAAATATCTTCGAATTATAAATATTTGACTCGTATCAATTCACACATTCCACTTTATCGTTAATGAAGGTATATGATGTAAAATAAAGGATAAAAAAATAAAACCTAAAAAAAAAATATCTTTGGAATATAAACTTACAAAAATATTTGGTAATAAACACCAGTTTCAACACAGTGCCTTCTGTAAGACGCATATTTAGTTAAATGTTTTATATATACTACATAAATATTTAATATATACATATAAAAAGACTAAATTAAAATCAGTCGTCAACTTAATACAAAAAATACATATAAAATAAAAAACACGTATAAAAAAATACTGTTGAGTAACTTTCACACATGCATGCTACACGCATTCACATTCACACAACATGTCATTAAATGGAAAAATAAACGGTGGTTATGAAATAACAAGAATGAACAATTAAATTTAAAGTTAGAAGACGAGTATGTAATTCCGTTAGGACTTAAATTATGAATAAATAAATAAATAGATTATTGGTATTGCCTAAGCCTGCTTGGCATGGGCGGCGTAGGCTAGACTTTGAGCATCTTGGGACCTGCCCCAACCACTGTTGCTCTCCCAGCCGTGCTCCTCATGAGGAGGTTCAGACCAGCCGCTGCTCTTCTTGGACTCTAAAAGCTTCTTCAAAGCGCCGAAGGCGGCGGCGATGAAAGCTATCTTTCCGAGGAGGTAAGCCTTGAATACTGCGAACGCGATGATACCGAGGAAGAGGGGAACCAGTGCTGCTAACTTCAGTTTGATGAGAGCCAAGATCGGAAGCAACTTCTTCAGCTTCTTCTTCTTCTTTCCACGGCCTGTGACATGGCATTTGTTGAGAAAGAGAAAACATAAAAAAAAAACAAAACGACGGAGAATAGGGCCACGCAACAAAATGCACAAATGGGCAGCTGACAAATGCCCAACGCGAAATAGAACTGTTATACTTCTGTTGCCCAAATGCCCTTGAGCGGCTGTTGTCGCTTAACAACAGGTGAACCACCAGCTCGTTTTCCAGTTTCTCACATAAAAAAGTATGTTTCTTTAACCGACGAACGTTTAAAGTTTGTAGGTGATATTATATTCCTGGATCCTACTTAGGAAAATGAATTATTTATTTATTTAGTTTTTTACTTATATTCTATCTGTATATATTTAACTTCATGTGAATGTTTTTTTTTAAGTTTTTTGTTTGTTTTTTACCAATTATTTTTTCTTAAAGCAAAAAACTTAAATCATTTAAAATATACTTACTCGTGTTATCATTTTCGATTAAGTATTAGTAATCAATAAGTTTTTTTTGTCGTAAAGGAAAATCTAATAGTGTAAAATTTACATTTAACATTATTTCAAATGAAAAGCATAATTACAAACAACAATTAATTTAGTTGATAGTAAGGCAACATCTCATGCGTTTCCTGGAGCGCCGCTTTAAACAATGGCTTTTAAGATCATAGTTTAGTTGTTATAAAAAGTAACTGAGTGTGAAGTAGAATTGAGCGATCTCGCTAGCTTGTCTAATTTAAATAAAATGTTCAAACGATGCCTAACCGTATGACTAATTAGTTTAGAAAGGTGCTTTCTTTTTTCAAAGACCTTCATTAGATCTATTCGTAATTTATTTTTCCTATGATCATCCTCACCTTCCTCTTCAACTGAATTGTCTTCGATGAAAGATTTCGGCATCCTCAGCTGTAAAGCGTGGCTGTCCAAAAAGTCTACGACGTTGTCCATAATCCTCTCTTCGACTTGCTGCTCCCTGGCTTTGGGGTCCTCGTCAAGAGGCTCAAAGCTGCGTGCAGACCTTGGGCTTCCCGTCCTAGCGAAGGTCACGCCTTCCACCAGATTTAGATCTTTGGATACAGCAAGGTTTTCCGTAAACTTCATCGCTTTTTCCTGTGAATAAAATGAAAATTGTATAAGTTCATAGTACGACAATTTTCTTTTGCAATAATTTAATGTAAGATTAACCTAACAACAAAAGAGATAAAAGCCGCAATTTTTATAATTTCGACACAATTGGCATTGTGATCTCAAACAATGATTTCCCATAAAAACACGTGTAGCACAGCGCGATGCGCTGATTTTAATTGATGTCTAAAGAGAAATTCTTAGACAAAAACCAAATATAACATTGGAAAATAATTCTTTTTAAACTGCAAGTTTTTAAGTCGTTGGCTTAAATCGTAAAGGCGTTGATAGTTTTCCGCAATAACGTAAACATAACTAAAATATTAATCCAGTTAGCAAATATTAAATAGTTTCTCTAATGCTTTGTCAATTTATCTTAAGCAATATTACTTCTGATTTTGTAAATTGTGCTACTCAGAATTAAAATTTATTGTATACTTGACATTTAACTAACAGTTCTCTAAAAGCACGACTTTTAAGTTTATGCTTATGCTCTTCAGCGAACAAACAAATTATTCGATATGTGAACGTCATTTGCATCCCATACTAATATATTTTAACCAAATATGTATTTGCTATCAATAATTTCCCGCTGATTACTCTATCCCCAATTATGATCTATTTAGCACTTTTCACTCCGCTCACATCACTTCACTTCACTTCACACACCTTCAAGCACAGCATGGTGTCGGTTTCCACGCAATCCCTCAGCGCCGAGATGAACCTCTCCATGACCCCATCCTCCTTTGATGTCGGCAGTGCCGCCGCCGCCGCCGTCGCCACAAAGCAAAGTAGCACGAACGCCTTCATCTTCCACGATAGCGAATGTTCAATTGTCAAAGTACCCTGTAAGGCCGACAGTTTTATTTTGTACCCCCCTCCTATCCGGGCTCCATATGTCACGTTGAGGCCCCGTCGGCGGCAGATGTGTGAGGCTATGACGAAACGCTGAGCACACGAATCTCGCTCTAAGAGCATTAAGCAAATTAACACGACTCCGCTAGTTTTAATGGTGTATTAAAAAAGGGAAGTGTGTTATGATAACAATGCTTCAGGGTCAAGTATTTCTACCAACGGGTCTCTGTATTTTCACTTTTTCTCTTTTTCTTCTTTCTACCTTTTATTTTTGACCCGTGCTACTTATCTAAAGTTTTTGTAACATATAAAATGTCCGTGAAAATTTTCCGCCTAGCTTGAACATAAATTCAATTATAGTCACATATGTCTATCCCTAACATGTAACTCAAAATTTACAGCGTTACATTTTCATCGATCCTAAGACATCTTCACCTCATATTCTACATCTATACAGCATCAGTTACCACTGCTGATCACCCGAATCTTAGTTTTCCATATCTCCTATATGGTAACATTATTGGGCCGAGAGAATCTCAGCCCGACTGAATCATATTTATATTTAACAACCTATCTCCGTTCATCATTTTCAAGCATTTAATTGCGATTGATATTTATAGGTGATTTTCTGGTGTCGTATTGAAATTGTGATGTTGCCACTTCTTTATCCTGCCTTTATCCAACCTATTTGGGCTCGCGACACGTAAATCGTATAATTAATGATTTTAGTATAGATTTTATACGACCACCCACCTCTATGACATCAAACCTCCTTGGAAACAAACACTCAGAGCCGAAACACTTATGCGTCGGTCACACAAATACTTTTCCCGTGGGAACAGAAACCACGACCCCCGGCCTAAAGCCAATGAATGGGTTATAGCTGCGGCACCGAGCCGTGATTATTATATAAATTCTCGTCGATTTACAAAACGCCAACGGCAGTTATATTAAATTACACGTTTTCGTTCATGGTTTTTGCATAAGAGCGCGCGCGCGAACGTCGTCATCATTGAACTTTCCCAAAATTCATTAATAATTTCCCCATTAAACGTCACCCGGCCGATCCTCCGGACCTGTAAGTGCCATTTGTATGCGGTAAAAAATTATTAAGCCTATTTAGAGGCGTCGCATTGCATTAGGCGAAAGTTTGAGAACTTTAGAAACAAAATCTGGACTTCGCCACTGCATGTAAACTGCTGTTTTATGTAATTCACTCGCATTGCTTCCTCGAAGGCAGCTGAGTTTGATATTCCTCAAATCACACAAACTGACAAAATTACGTAACAAAATTACGAGAAATGTACGTCTTAAGTTCTATTCCTTTTCGAAGCAATATTTTCCTTAATCAATAAATAAAATGATGTAAAACAAATTTATAAAGCTTCCTAAACATGTAATATGATTTAGTGCTGATGATGTTAAAGCATTTTTTATCCTTGTAAATTTTGATATATTTTGACTTAAATATTTATTGGATAGGTACATGGAAATTCAATAATATTAAAAAAGTCTGTGGCGGAGCCATAGGTTCAGCAGTGGACTCAAACAAGCTGAAATGAAACTTAAATGATGATTGAGTGGATTGTTTTCAACACTATAACTAACACAGGGCTCAAGTATCTCCAATGTTTCCAAATCATCAGCTCAAGTTTTTCTTTGTAAAAAATTCATCAACGAAAAAGAAAGCAAGAGTGATGACGATATTGAAGAAGTTATCGAAGAAGTTATTATCCTTGGAATTCTTTACAATGCGGAGAGCATTGTAAAGAATTCCAAGGATTTGTATGAATGAAATTCTTGTTTCGATATTAAAAAAGTCTGTGGCGGAGCCATAGGTTCAGCAGTGGACTCAAACAAGCTGAAATGAAACTTAAATGATGATTGAGTGGATTGTTTTCAACACTATAACTAAGACAGGGCTCAAGTATCTCCAATGTTTCCAAATCATCAGCTCAAGTTTTTCTTTGTAAAAAATTCATCAACGAAAAAGAAAGCAAGAGTGATGACGATATTGAAGAAGTTATTCCTCAAATATTTTTTATACAAGAGCCGACTTGTCACTTGGTGATACATGAACACCTCAATAGAAGAGTATGACAATGCACTTTTTGCCAACCTATTGACCTCAACAGAATATACAAAATGTAAAAGAAAGCTCTTCTGGCACTTCCATATAATTATATAACAATAAAAATAATAAGAAATTAAATACTGCCTACTACTTTTCACTAGCCACAGTAACATAGTCCCAGACAAATATCAACATCCGGTATAGTTATTGTTGGTCATTAAAACACATGCCTGAAATTCTGAATAACTGATTCAATTTTAAGGAATAAACATTATTCAAAGAACATTGCAACAGGTGAAAATTCTAATCATTTTTAAAATCCAGCCATTCAAACAAAACCCAAAGGTTTTATTTAAGACGACCCGAAAACAATGACATCTCGATGGGTGAGAGTGTATTTTCCAGTATCCATATTCAATGCGGCCTGCAAAGATTAGCATATCCATTCAAAATTGATTCTTATTCGGAGCGAAATTGAGTTGCTAATCGGTCGGAGGTTCGATTGTACTGTTTTCTAGATGCTAACTTGAGTGGACACAATGTTCGCTCGTTTCCGAGCACATGTAGAATCTTTAAGTGCTGAGGAAAATTTCTCGCAGATGCCAAATGAGTACCAATATATCAATCGCCGGCAATGAATTAAGAGTTATAGGCAATTCGCCCATTACATTGTAGGCTCTGTACGAATGTAATAGCGTGCAAAGTTCCACCATGTAATGTTATAAGAAATTCTATCTCTGGTACCTCTCGCAGTCAGTACTCGTACTCCTTTCATTTCCTTCTTCGAGATTTGTTTCCTTAACGGGTTCGCGGAAATTAATTTGTTATTATTGTTATAGTGGTAAAATTGGAAAAATTGCAAATGACTTTCATGAACATCGTATATTTCCGAGTTTTTATACGTTAAAATTTGAAAACGAAATTTCTGTTAGATGGAAAGGTTTTTTCAAATTTACATCTTATTTGTAATATCTATATAGAATCAAAATGATGTGTAAGATAATTAGAATGTGTAGTTCAAACTATGAAATATCAGTAGTCGAAAATTAAACAGATGACGAACGGATACATATATTTTATGTTCTTCCTATCTCGTTAAATTCTTAGTAATATTGCATTTTTCGATACGTTATCATTGTTTTATGTACTAAATAATAAGAAAAGAAAAAATACTTACCGTTTTCGATATTTGTTTCACAAAAAACAGTAATTCAAACATTAAAAGGAAAACATGGAGATATTCGAAGTAGTTGTGAAAGAATAAATAGGTTTTTACCAGTAATAATTTATTTAGCTATCAAAGTACGGTTCATTCCTTCCTTCGCTAATTTCTCGATCGTGTTTCACGGGAAAATGAACTCTATCTAGTCAGCAAACAGCTCACTATTAATCAGAAACGATCTGGCGTAGATCTACGTTCCGACAGTCAACGGCAGCACAATTAGGCGCGCAGATCTACGTTCCGACGAACCAAAGGTTAATATATAGAAATGTGTCACACAGTAAACATGTCAACGTAGGTTAGGCATCTTGTTTAATATATCGTTTCATATCATACAATTTAACTTGAAAATCCATTAATCTACTCATCATCCTGCATTGCTTTGATCTTCTTCAAGGTCGAAGCTTTTAAACGAACAGTGCGCGTATTCTATTTGTATATATATTAGTACCACTGTAATTGGTTTCACTTTAAAGTAAGTTAAACGTTGTTAGGGTCAAAATAAAACCTCGTGGAACACTAACATAAGAGTTTATTGTAATTTATATTTTTTTAGAAACCTCAAATAAAAGACTTGACAAAGTAAGCGTGTGTTATATCCTTCCTTTATATCGTTGCCAGTGTTGTCATAGACAAAAATTATACAATTTTAGTAAATGTTAGATAATTAAATATTATTAAAATTTTTGTTAAGGCGTTTATAAAGAAAGCTAGTGATGTGCAATAATTGTAAAAAGATATAGATTAAATTTTAATTTATGAACTGAAGTAAATATATCTTGCTCAAGTTAATTTAATTGTGCATTCCACAACGAAACACCACATAGTTCTCTAGTGACAGTATCTCACAGTGAATCATAACCTCAAGATTACATCGACCTCGTAAAGCTCAAAAGTTTCATTTTGATCATCCACCTTTTATAATAGTTCAAGATTAAGGTTAATAATCTAAGTAAATGTTAAAGGAAAAAAATACACTCATATTAATAAAATTTACAATGATTATTTACTTATTTATTTCCTCTAAGGCATTTTTATTCCGTGACATCTATTTTTTATACAATAGAGATTTTTTGCTATCTACAATCTCTATGTTGTACTGTTTTACTTATTTGTTAATACTGCCGGGGCTGTAAAGTTATATTGAGGGTTAGCTTTGACGAAAAGTTTTTAAATTTGGCCAATATATAATTTTTGGTGTTATAGTGGTAATAGTTAGTACGAGAAAATGGTTAACCCATAATAAGCGACCACTGACGATAAGGTAAGTCGGCAATATCAAAGTTCTCAAGTGAGTTGTTGACCTTTAAGATACCTGTACTTAACCGGATGAAAAGCAAAAGTATGAATGCATTACGTCCCGACCGACTTAAATGAGGTCTTACTGGAGGATTAAAGGGACCATTGCGGTTCACCTGATGTTAAGCGATAGACGCCGCCCAATGACTTTTCAATGAACATCCTTAGTTTTTTTTTTTCTTTTTTTTATGTGAAAAGTTGCCAAACGAGCAGACGGTTCACCAGATGTTAAATGAATACCGCTGACCATGGATATCTGCTACAAACCCACGGGGGGTATGCAGATGCGTTGACAACCTTTTTGTAAATTAGGCTCCGGCCACCTCACTCACCAGACGAAACGCGAAAGTATTATACTTCCACTTTACGCCGGTCTTCTGTGAGATCGTGGTATTGCCCATTCGTGCAACAGCCGAGGCTGCTGCGTGGCCCTACCACTGTTAAGAGTTGCAGTTGCATTGTCACCATTTAAAAAAGTGGGCCCGGATAGCATACTAAGAAAGCATACGGAACACAAAGATAAAAAGT